ATTACAAAAATGTTATTTTTCGTGAACACACTTTTTCCAACGTTTTTGAAGTTTCTTAGTCCCGGTGGCATAGAAAGAAGTAAACCAATTGCAGGTTACCGACAAATGTCCTTTGATTTGTGTTCAAACACCTTTGCTGAGATGTTTCGTGATTTATGCTTTGCATCTCTGTTAACTTTCCTTTGTCAGTCGTTATTGGTCAGTTTTTCTCTGCCGTGAGAGACTTCTTCACGAACCTTCTTTAAATAAGTGAGCTTTCGACAGGATATCATTGCCAAACTGTAATCTGCGCAAAGTTTCAATAGGTTTGACATTTTCTAGAGTTATTATCCATTTTGCAACTGCATGAGAAACATAGCTCTCACTTATGATTAATTGAATAACTTGTAATAAAGCTACTAAAAAAAGAACTTAACACTTTCAAACAATATTTTAGACTCTAGATAAAGTTCTATGAGAATAACAATGAGAATAAAAACAATTAAAAAAACAATGACATGACAATGTACACAAAATAACTTGTTGCCATAACAATGAAAATAAAAATCGTCTGCTGCGATTAAAAAAGTCCCATTTTTATTGGATCCATCGACGTACTATAACGTCACGTATCATATAAAAGGTTCGAAAATTTTTAAGTATAATATCTTGAAAGCAATCATGAACTTCAATTTTTATCATAATTTGCAAAATAATTGCAATGATACTCCGAAGATTTGATTATTTTAAGTATTATTTGTTTATTCAGAGTTTTGATCTGAGAAATATTCAAAAAGTTATGAGTTTGAAAAATATTTTAACCAACTCAATGCGATATTTGCAAATAAAATGGAATTTTATTGCAAATAAAGGGAAATGTTTTTTTTAAATGATTTCTAAATAATTAAAGAGAAATTAAAACATATAAAATTTCCAGCAGCAAAAATATCTCACACTTTTTAAATTTTTTCAGACAATTTATTGCATGTCAACAACAAAGAATATTCATACAATTAAAAGTTAAATTACAATTATTTTTCTCTTTCTTCCAATACAGTTTTTACTTTAATCAATTGGGTATTTGCATTTCAAGAAGAAGACCTCCCATACCCACACATGTGACCAATGACGTCAGCACCAGCTAATCTTTATCAGCAAAATGGATTATTAAAGTTGAACAAAGTTTCTCTAGATATGTTAGAATGTTAATCAAAGTTAATTAAATACAGATCTGTGTCGCACATCGAATTAGATGAAATATAATTCTTTTTCGTCTACTTTTTTTACTTAACTTAGATTAATTATTGGTTTACCTATTTTATTGTAACCATGATATATATTTGATTTGTGAGTCTGGCAACTCTGATGCAAAACTAGATAGTTCCGCATTGTTTTGAGTACTTCAGCAAAGGTTTGCTTCATCACTTCTTCAGTTTCAACATTTTAATCAACTGATGCATAAGAATTGCAACACACATTATTACCATCACTGTGTTTTTCTTTTTAATACAAATCTTTTTCTCAAATGTAAGTAGAATTTCTGAACGATGGAAATGAAAATCAGAAACAATCTAAGCGGGTAGCATTATAAGGAATTTGTGTCGATACATAGGGAAAAGCGAAAGATGCGATGGATCGACTGTAATAGAAAAATTAAGTGTGACAACATTTGTATCAAAATTATTAAAAATACAGGAGGCTGCGATGGGTAACTAGCAACTGTTACTAGGTATTGTGTCGCACATTCAGTATTCCTAAGTTTGAATATTCTGAGTGCAGGTGGTTATTTTTCAAAGCCTCCACTCTATCAAATCCATGAGTCCTCTGGCAAAGTCACACACCAAAATTGAAAGACTCACACAAACCAGAATTGAAGAAGAAAGAAGAAATGTTCCATACAATCGAGGATGTGTTCGGATGCTTCAAATTGCACACGTTGAGAAGATTTTGCCCCACATTTTTGAAAGTTAAGAATTTTAAATGGCCAATGATGAAATCCTAAACAATTCTAGAGCACCACCAGGTCTTTTTACCTGCCAAACCAGTGGTAAACAGAAGGGCTTTTCTTCAGAGAGAAAATCTCCTGATGAAGTAGTCAGATGTTGCAACCTCAGTAGTGCCCCCATTTCTGCCAGGCTCATTACCAGAGACACCAACATTTACTTACTAGCAAAATGAATATATTTCATAAAATCATTCCTTATCTACTTTTAAGAAAGAAAAAGAAAAAGCAATGCTGAATGAGACCAGTAAGCAGAGCCTTTTAATAAGTTGGAGAAAAAAATTAAAACTAGTTTTGAATAACAAATTAAAAGTAGCATCGATTACACTTTGTCTTCTACATGAGATGCCGAATATTGCATTGAATACCACATCAGTGGATTGACCTGCGCTTTGAAAACGTGTTTATTAACTTAACGGTGGAATCTAACCATTGGAATTTCGACTACTTTCTGATTAGTTAAAACACTCAAGCCTGATGAAAATTCATGTTTCGATCATTTTCAGATACCCATAAACAAAATGTTTACGATACGATTACCAAAAAGGATTCATCGGTAATCGATATTCTAACTACTTTTTTCAATTGCTAGAGAACTCAAATCTTTCAACAAAAAAAATGAAGGACTCTTAACTGATGGCAATGCAAGTTACAATTTTTTTTAAAGTTAACTAACAACACTTTACCTTTATTCTGTCACTTTTTTGGTATAAACCAACAGACAGACAAGAAAACTAAAAAGAAGAATATAATAAAATAAACATTTCAAAAATTACGATTCACATGTGAACTAAAAAGGTAAAAATCTTTCTATTTTTGTCACACGTGAAACGGAAAGCGTAGGAATCATCAGCTCTCTTAATTATTCAAAGTTATTTGTTTTATGTTAGAATAATATTCTCCTTTTTAATCTACCTGAAAGTTTTCGAAATCTTTCATTTCATTTTATTATTTTAAAAATTAAGATTAATAAAACTGATAGTAGATTTACTCCTTAAAATTTACATAAGAATAACAATTTTGGGTAAAGGGTTGTCGAGCATCAAAAATGAATTTTTAAAATCCGATGGAAGTCGTAAAATATTTCAGTCATGTCGATAATAAGCGGATTCTTCCGGAAAAATTAAAATAGAAATTAATCAGTGAAAAAAGAAACAAATTGTTTTTTTTCTTTTATCTTTAAATTGCAATTTTTTTTGTGACCCTGCACTGAAATACATAACTGCCGTTTTCAATACTTCTGATGGAGGTACTTCGAATGGGTAGAGCGATATAGATATCGATTTTATGATTGTAAGCAGAATTCGTTTTAATAGTTTTAAAGAGTTTTGTTAGGACTCTCGCATATTTATTTAAATTATTTACAAGCAGTGGTTGTCAAAATCATTATAAATTAGCGTGGTTAAACAAAGAATGCAAATGTATAGATTGTACTACCACTTTAAAAATAAAAATAAAACCTTCCGCCAAGACCAGGAGATTGAGCAGCTATGCAAATAGAAAAATTCACCCTAATAACAAATGTTAGTAATCAAAATTTGAAACTTTCCGGACAATGTTTTTTTCTGAAGTGATGGTTTTTTTAATAATTGTAAAATAATAATTAAATTATTCCAAACGTGTCTAAATTAAATGAATTAAAGAAAAAATAAATGTTGAAAATTACCAGTTAAAAGAATGCTATACCGCGGGAAAAAACCTACATGGCAATTCTTTTTCATCTCCAGAAGCAAATTAAAATTTAAAGTATAAAAAAGTGAGTTCGGATAAACCTAGAATAAATCAAGAAGTTTCAAATGTTTAAAAAAAAAATTAAAAAAATCAAACTTAAAAAACTTACGATAGGATTACGCAATCTTCCGATACGCAGTGGGAAAATTATCGCGCAGTAATTTTTTTCTCGATATAAAAATCTAATGATGGTGTTTTCCATTGTTGTCAATACATTTATATTGGCCGAAAAGTCACATGGTAGGATCCAGTTTCCCACATTCATTTTCATACTGGTGTGGTTGTCATCAGCATGGCATTGATATAAGTCATAAAGGTATTGTTTTCCTATAAATATTTCTGTTTGCCTAATTTTTAAAGGTTAAACTTACCTGTACTGTTATTATTACGTTTTTGATTTTGTTTGGATTTCTAAATTAAAAGTTTAGGAGGTTTTTTTTTTATTATTAATATTACAATAATATAATTCTGCGTTGTATTTTAAGATAAAGTTATTTAAATCGGTGTCTGATCTTATTAAACGCTTTGCAATTATTATTTTTGGGGGAGGAAAATACATAAATATGCTGACATATGAATGACGATTAAAGAGATTCGTTAAATGACTTAACTTTCAGCTTCATAGACAAAGTGGTGAATGCAAAGCAAACTGTATGCATAAGCAAAAATACTAAATTGCAGTTGCGAAATTTGTTATAACAATATACTTTTAATTTTAAAAGTTATTTCAAAAAGTGATTACTTAGAAAAATGATATATGTTAACTTATAGACCTTAATAGTGACATAATGGAAATATTTGAACGTGGGAGGCTCAAGTGTTCTTTTCAGTACATATATTTTCAGTTGAATACTTTCAACTGATTGATGCCAAGAAGCAGTAATTATTGAGAAGCAATCATCGGGATTGGTGAGCGTCTGGATCTTGCCCTTTGAAAAACTTTTTCATTAATTGAAACTTCATGTTTTACTTTAGGATTACATGAATTCACTTTTCTCTAAACTTTAAATCTTTAACTATAGTTCGTTCACCAGATGTTGGTATTTGGCTCCACCTCCCCAAACGCAGAGTTCATTTCAGCGCGGGAAAGGAGAAATATATTTGCGCTTGAAATTGAGACAACCCTAAATGCGTGCCAAATGCAAACAGTGAATTCTTTTTCAGTCTAGTTAATTCAATATATTTTAAATTTAAAAACTGCTTTTTTCCCGACAAAATACTTCAAAAAGAACAAACTATTCACTCAAAAGAGAGAAATATCATCAAATTTATGAAATATTTAATGTTAAAAAAATTGCCCATAAAGATTGCGAAATAAATATTTTTCTTATACGATCGCCAAATAGTAACCACTTTCAGGATTGTTTCTCCTAAAAATAGCGAAATAGTATCGTCGGATACCAAGTGATGAAAGCGGAGCCAAGTCCCAACTATGCCTATGAAAACGGAAGAAAAAAAACTAGCCATGAAAAGTTTCCCCCGCGGCATAGCGTCCTCTAAAGTAAATCAAAAATGCTATTCATTAGTTCTTCAAACTGCTTTTTACTACACGCAAACAGAAGATAATATTCTAATAACAAGTGTAAGTAACGACATTTTGAAACTTCCCGGACGATTTTTTAGGATTGCTGATGATGAAACTATTCTTCAAGATGTGTGTTACAATCTTATCGACATTTTTTGGCTCCAAAGACGAGTTATCTTTGACGTATGAGCATAACGTACTTAATAGTTTGTTTTCATTACCACTCAAGACAGCCTTATAGATTTTCGAATGTACATCGAACAGGTCTCCTTCTTTTGCAACAGATTCCATGACCTTTTCTAGACTCTCCATGATGCTCAACGTGCGAGCACGCGCGTCCAACTGCTCATCGTCATTAACCCAATCTGAATTATATTTCTCATTAGTAAATTTTCTAATAAACAGGTCTAGTAAAAGTAAAGCACCGTTAATGTCTACGTGCTTTAAAACTGCGCTACTCTTTCGATCCAAATTTTCCTTGGACTTTGAGGAACTTAAATATTTTTTTCCGCGAAGATTCTCATTTCTTGATACTATCTTTCTGGCGTAACGATTCATGTTGTCACTAGTTACGTTTAATTTTGACCTGATAGATTCAATCAGTGATGATCGAATGTGACTATCTTCCTGGTGATCGGTTGCACGCAGAAATTTGCTGCTGCAGCGGTTTGCTCTTATCAGCATATCAAGAATATCTCCCTTAGCTAAGCCACACGCCAGTGTATCTTCCTGCCTTGCTGCTTTACCTGTTTGCGTTTTCTGCCTCTCTTCCGCTTTCAATATCTCTCCGATGATGTCTTTCTTTCCATGGATGATTGCCAGATCAAGGGGTGTGTGGTCATTAACTGTTTTTATGTAAACTTTCGCTCCTCTGGCGATGAAAGTGCTCACTACGTCTTTCTGACCACTTGCAGCTGCTAAATGCAGAGGTGTCTGGTTGTCTACGTCTACGCAATCTACGTCCATGTATGGCTGGTTGTTGACGAGCGATGGCAGAAGTTTGGCAAATTCTGCTTGCTTGAAGAACACTGCGTAATGCAGAGGAGACCACTCCCTCTCTCCCGCCACGTCATTGATGTGGCTCCTGTTGTTGGTCACTAAGTCTGTAATTAACCCATCGTGTCCCTTCATGGCGGCGTAATGAAGCGGAGTCATGCCAGTGTTGTCCTTTGGGAACATATCGACATTCTTCCTCTGCTGAAAGTTCTGGGTAGCCATGTACAGTCCCAAAATTGCCGAGTAATGGATGGGTGCTAAACCATTTGCGTCTTTCACATTCGGATCAACCTTCCGATTGGTTAATAACCTCCATACAATAGACGAACTAAAAGTTTCATCCGACACGCTGATATGCAATGGAGTCATTCCAGCCTTGTCTTGTTCGTTCGGATTGATGTTGGGACTTGCCAGCAGTTCTTTCACGGTGTCTTCAGACTGATAACGAACGGCTAGATGCAGGGGTGTCAAGTGATAAGTGTTCGATTTACAGTTTACGTCAGCCCTCCGCTTAATAAGTTCTTTCACGACATCGACCTCTTTCCTTTCCGAAGCTATATGCAGCGGGGTGTAGCCAATGGAATCTTTCTGATTAATCAGCGAACGATCAATGTCTAATATCCGCTTTAACATCCCCACCCTCCCCGATTCTGCGGCAGCGTGGATAACCCCTCTCTTGTTCTCGAACACTGCCTTTACACTTGCTCCCAGACTTATAAGTTTATTCATGTTATTCAAAATCTCATAATCCTGGTACGAATCTACAAAAGCTAAATTATACAAATCTCTGTCTACATCCCTGAATGCTCTTTGAGCGTTTGATACGACTCGTATCAATTCCGGGGGATTATTGTCGAATTTTCGAAAGACTAGCCTGTTCATGCGATTGGAATTTCTCAACTTAATGTCAGGGTTAGCGATATCAATAACTTCCTGCTGTGGCAGCCATTTGCTTATTTTAGAATATTTACCATCGCTTTCAAATTGTAAAGCATAGCTGACCTTAGCACCACGCTTCCAATCTAAAAAGTTAGTATTACTGCGTCTTACACCCACGTAAGACTTGAATGATATATCGATGTCGTTTTCCGGTGCTTTATCGATAACTGGTAAGGTGATGTCATTTATTTTTTGTTTCAACTGCCTTAGTGTTAAAATGTGACTTTCAAAAGCACTGTACAAATCTTTTTTAGAGTTTCGCATGTCATGGCTGTTTTTAGCACTATCCAACAACTGAATGACTTTATCGATTAGACCATTGCGATTTGTATTCATAATGCGCTTGAAAGTGGTAAAATAAAACAAAAGTTTATCTAAATGTTGGTTGAACTCACCAAGTTCGTTCGTTTGGTAAAAGTATTCGGATATGTACGCGTACTCGTCTAGAAGGGTAAAAACAATCGATGCGTAAGTCAGTGTGCCAAAGTTCAAAGCTGCGAGGGCGTTATACGCATTCTGATCGTTTATGTTACTCGGAACCGCGTATTTCTTGTTGATCATCGAAAACAGTGCTTCAAACAAAGAACCTTGCTGTTTCACATAATTAAATAGAAAATTATCTTTTAATTCTTGTTTTATTATGTTTACGTATTCTTCTTTGCTCGCCTCCCTTTTACTACTTTCGCTGAAAGCAATTGACATCCTCGCGTTTTCGATATCGGATATGATGTCGCTGATGTCTTGAGCTGTAATGGACGTTAGAATGCGCTCAAATCCAGCGTTCATCTCTTGCCTGGTTAACTCTAGCTGAGAAAGTGTTTCGCTCACTTTTTCAGAAATGCCTTTCAAAATCTCTGCTTGCTGATCCAATTTACGGTTGACTTCGTTGAATTTTTTGTCCAGTCTTTGTTCTAATTCCTTGAATGGAACGTCAGCGCAATCTCTTTCGATACTGGTGTCACCCAGCAAACCCTTAGCAGCTGAAGCGCCCAGCATTATGCCGCCCAGGACCACCCCCAATCCCGGCATAACCAAAGCACCTGCAACCGAAGCTACAGCACCCGCTATGCCAAGCCATGTGTCTGAAACGTTCTGACCATCTTCCAATCGTTTGCAGTAAGCGGACAGCTCCTCTAAACTAAGCTCCCGCTTCAGACGCATCAAAGCTGTACTTTTATGCGCATAATTCCCATCTAACGCCATGTCGTTTGAAATAAGAAAATAAATCAATACTTACTTTTTCAGCAAAACAAAAGAATTTTCATAAAGTATCAAAACGCTGTCTGGAGTAGTCATTTATATACTATCGAAGCAGTGATTCTTACTTCGTCTCTGCCATCTGCTTTGATAGATAGAACAAAGTAATTCGAAAAGGCTAAATCAAACACAATATCAGATTCGTCGTTTAGTGGCATATTGACGTATCTTGTCACTTTTTTCCCTACAACTGACGTCTTTCAGGTTTAAAGGTTTTTTTTTTTTCAACATCTGTTTTGTATCTCTGAGTATCATATACTGACAATTGCAGAAATTATTATTAGTGAATAGGCTAAAAAAGCATTTCGTAGTTTATCAAATATTTTCGAAATTGCAATGGTTGAGCATTATAAATCGATGGTTGACCGTGTACTGTCTTTACATTTTAAAGTTCTCAAAACAGAAATCACTAATCTCCGCTTTCCTACAGGTCAAGTAATCCGCTATTAATCCCTCAACTTTTTGGAACAACTTCTGATGAAGGCATGCTTTTCTTAGAATAACATTCTTTTGAATTTTCAAATTAAACTTATTTCAAATAAACTTTTTTTGAATATCTACTGGTTATAACTAAAGGGTGTTACTCATCAAGAAAAATTAAAAAAGCCTGAATTTGAGTCTTTTTTTTTTTTTTTTTTTTTTTTTTTTTTTTTTTTTTTTTTTTTTAAAAAAAACACGGAGAAAAATTTTATTTTTATACAATCTAGCTACTAAGCAGAACACTGATTAGACTTCTTTTTAAAAAATTACTAAAATATTTAAGGCATTGTCAACCTTTTTTTCAAAAAAAAAATCGGTTGATCGGCGATATACTTAGATAAATATTTTTTAAATATCAATAGATAATTCTCAAGTTTGCATGTTTTTATGAGCAATGCAGCGTTGCAATCAAGACTACGAAGTTAAGCACAAAAACAAAATTAACTCGACTCCGGCTTGTTTAAATGTTTTGATCTAATGAAAATTAGTCAGACAAATATTGTATAAACGAAAATATTGCTGAAGTAAATTTTATGAAAATTATTTAAATTATGTAACTTATCACAAACTTAATAACTAATCATATTTGAACGTTTCTGAGTCCATGTTTGCATAAACTATTGAAAAATGTCTAAAATATCTTTTAATTAAAAAATTCCAAAATCAAATTTACTTCAAATTTATTTATTATTAATTTCAAAATTATTAATTATCATTAGTTTTTTTTTTTTTTAAATATGCTAATGAAGTTAACGCATCATTTGTAATAGGTCATGAATATTTCCGAGGTTAAGATGATTCCGATAAGATGTTTATGTATGTGAGAAAGTATTGTGCAGCGTAGCTCATTTTTTTTTATTTTATAAGTAATGATTATGCACAATTTAAATTCTAAGTAGAGTGCTAAAAAATCCACTCTGAAATTTTGTTTTAATGATTTCTGATCCCCGAAACATAACTTTTTCTTTTCTCCAAGCTTTGGACATGTACCTAGGTCATTATGAACCCTTCATCATATAGCCCAAAGCTTGGCTACTGGTCCGGCTCCACACCAGCCTAGGAACGAGCACAGTCAGCGAGAATTTATTCAGAATTTTGATATATGCAAAGTCACAATAGTTAAAAATTACAAAAGATCAAATATAATACAAGTTAATTATTAAATTGGATACATGTAAGCAACCAAGAAGTTGAATTGAAAAAAAAATTAGAAATTGTATCACATAATAACAAAAATAAAAAAAGAAGTATAAAAATAAAAACAAAATAAACTTAAAAGCCGTAAACAATTTGTTTTTGCTTAGACTAAATAAAAAATTTTGAAAAAGAATTTTTTTTTTTTACGGAAATTGAGGCTGGAAACAACTTCAAAATAGTTTAAGAGGTAAAATAAAATAAGAATTTTGAAAACCGAAATATCAGTCTGGCAATTGAGAAAAAGAGAAAGCGAAAAAGATATTAGAAACTCTAGACACAATTGTGTAAACTAATTGTGTAAATTGTTGCTTTACCTTTGTGAAAACGTAGAGGCAAAACAAGTAAAAAAGTGTTAAATGTCTACTTCTCTGTGACTCTGGCCTATTTTTTTTCTCTTGAAACGAGTGACGTATGTTTTTCGTTTAATTTTAAAATATAAGGTAACATTAAATATATTAAAGTTTGCTTTGTTATATTAAGTTTCAATTTCGTATTTTAGCTATTTGTTAATTTTGACTAGAACACCTAAGCCGTCTTTGTAATGAACATACAGGCCTGTATTTGCATATTGTTATGTTTGCATAATGTAATTGTTGACAATGAATAAAATAATCATATTAATTTTTATTACCTCTTTTTCTTAAACTTCTTTTATTTTATTATTTAAAATTTCTGCCAGTCACATATTCGACTTGTTCATCTGGGTAAATTGATGTTTTTTACCTCCGTGAAAACGTAGAGGCAAGTATCAACCTAGTATCAAGTATCAAGTTTATATATATATATATATATATATATAATTATTT